CACACGCAAGTGCCTTGAATCAGCACTGATCGCTGTTTCGAATACAATTAAACAAAACAACGGCAGCTTCACCATCTCCGAAGTCTTAGCAAGAATCCTCCTGAAAACAGTAAACCCTGCCATCACACAGTCTCTCCTGTTATACTACACAAAGCACAGAGAGTGAACACTGAAACAAGCTGCCTCATTCCAGTTTATATTTGTCCAACCTATTTTTATGTTACCCAAGTAATAGCTTTTATATCCTTTTACTCATGTACGAATTAATTGCTCTACCATATTGTATTACTTTTGTCACTACCACTACTACTACTACTACCACTAGTGAACATCGAAATGGTACCTCACTAGTATTCACCTCACTCTGAGCCTTTATATACCCTCTGTGTCCATGTATTGTTTGTAATGGCTTGATAAAGCTCCTGGAGAGCAAAACGTTGCCACAATAAATGTCACATTAGTTGCACTTGTGTCCTTTTACTTTACATATTGTCGGTAATTCTACCAACTTTATTATATATATATGCATGCATGCCCTAAGATCACAGTAAACAGGCGATTTCAGAATATGCAAAACAACCACTGAAAGAATAGTGAAATTCTAAGCGATTTCGTGACTTCTCGCATTATCAAGGAACTATAAAAGTAATATATAAAAGGAAGGCATATAAAGGGTCTAGACCATACCTCACCATCACATCCTGCAACAAAGCAACACCTGACGCGCGACGACACCAGACTCATAAGAAAGGAGGAACACTGCAGCAGGCCCACTGGCCCAACTAAACAGGTCCTTCACGACATCCCATTAACAAAATATTCTACCCAAGAATTAAGATTTATTATTTGTCCAATGTATTATTAAATTCTTCCCAAATTTTATTAATTATAAATGGATGCGATTCATATACACCAAAGGAAATATTCATATTGTCAAAACTGCTATAATGAAACAAGATTCAATTATATTCCTGTCAACCATGGACTTGCTTGATACAACTTTCTCAACTTTTTGAAGATCAATTGGATGGTTAAAATCTCTCACATAAATAGAGCATTGGAATCTTGTCCAGTTCTAATGCTATATTTATGTTGTTTTAATCTTAGTTCGAGACTTTTACCAGTTTGACCGTAATAAACTTTATCGCAAATTTTACAAGGAATCTTAGACACATCCGTCAGCATTTTGGGGGGAATTCTTCGTCAAAATTTTTTTTTTACTGTATCAAGATTTTTAAATACAACTTTGATATTAAAAGTCTTAAGAAGAGAAGGCATATCAACCAAGTTAAGACTTTTAATATCTAGACCCTTTATATGCCTTCCTTTGTTATATTACTTTTATAATTCCTTGATAATGTGAGAAGTCACGAAAGCGCTTGGAATTTCACTATTCTTCCACAGTGGATTTTTGCACACGCGCACACGCACGCGCACACACACACACACACACACACACACACACGTGGTTCTGTGCTTTGAATACATAGTAGAGCTGCAAGTGGAGAGAATAACAGGAGTTGAATGGGAAAAGCCTGACTATAAAAGAGGGGACTACATAGGGTTGAAGAACTTCCTGCGGGAGGTTCAGTGGGACAGAGAACTGGCAGGAAAGCCAGTAAATGAAATGATGGAATATGTAACAACAAAATGCAAGGAGGCAGTGGAAAGGTTTATTCCCAAGGGCAACAGTAACAACGGGAAGACCAGAACGAGCCCCTGGTTTACCCGACGGTGTAAGGAGGCAAAAACAAAGTGCAATAGAGAATGGAAAAAGTACAGAAGGCAGAGAACACACGAAAATAGGGAGATCACTCGCAGAGCCAGGAATGAGTACGCACAGGTAAGGAGGGAGGCCCAGCGACAGTATGAAAATGACATAGCCTCGAGAATCAAGACTGACCCGAAACTGTTGTATAGCCACATCAGGAGGAAGACAACAGTCAAAGACCAGGTGATCAGATTAAGGACAGAAGGTGGAGAACTCACAAGAAATGATCAGGAGGTATGTGAGGAGCTGAACAGGAGATTTAAGGAAATTTTTACAGTAGAGACAGGAAGGGCTGTGGGAAGACAGCACAGAAGGGAACATCAAGAGGGAATATACCAACAAGTGTTGGATGACATACGAACAACTGAGGAGGAGGTGAAGAAGCTCTTAAGTGACCTTGACACCTCAAAGGCAATGGGACCGGACATCTCCCCATGGGTCCTTAGAGAAGGAGCAGAGATGCTATGCGTGCCTCTAACCACAATCTTCAACACATCCCTTGAAACTGGGCAACTACCTGATAAATGGAAGACAGCTAATGTAGTCCCCATATTTAAGAAAGGAAACAGAAACGAGGCACTAAACTACAGACCTGTGTCTCTGACATGTATTGTGTGCAAAGTCATGGAGAAGATTATCAGGAGGAGAGTGGTCGAACACCTGGAAAGGAACAAGATTATAAATGAAAACCAGCATGGGTTCATGGAAGGCAAATCTTGTATCACAAACCTCCTGGAGTTTTATGACAAGGTAACAGAAGTAAGACACGAGAGAGAGGGGTGAGTAGATTGCGTTTTCCTAGACTGCAGGAAGGCCTTTGACACAGTTCCCCACAAGAGATTAGTGCAGAAGCTGGAGGATCAAACGCACGTAAAAGGGAGGGCACTGCAATGGATAAGGGAATACCTGACAGGGAGGCAGCAACGAGTCATGGTACGTGAAGAGGTATCACAGTGGGCGCCTGTTACGAGCGGGGTCCCACAGGGGTCAGTTCTAGGACCAGTGCTATTTTTGATATATGTGAACGACATGATGGAAGGAATAGACTCTGAAGTGTCCCTGTTCGCAGATGACGAAGTTGATGAGAAGAATTAAATCGGACGAGGATGAGGCAGGACTGCAAAGAGACCTGGACAGGCTGGACATGTGGTCCAGCAACTGGCTTCTCGAATTCAATCCAGCCAAATGCAAAGTCATGAAGATTGGGGTGGGGCAAAGAAGACCGCAGACAGAGTATAGGCTAGGTGGACAAAGACTACAGACCTCACTCAGGGAGAAAGACCTTGGGGTGACCATAACACCGAGCACATCACCGGAGGCACACATCAACCAAATAACCGCTGCAGCATACGGGCGCCTGGCAAACCTGAGAATAGCGTTCCGATACCTTAATAAGGAATCGTTCAAGACACTGTACACTGTGTACGTTAGGCCCATACTGGAGTATGCAGCACCAGTCTGGAACCCACACCTGGTCAAGCACGTCATGAAGTTAGAGAAAGTACAAAGGTTTGCAACAAGGCTAGTCCCAGAGCTCAAGGGAATGTCGTACGAGGAAAGGTTAAGGGAAATCGGACTGACGACACTGGAGGACAGAAGGGTCAGGGGAGACATGATAACGACATACAAGATACTGCGGGGAATAGACAAGGTGGACAGAGATAGGATGTTCCAGAGAGGGGACACAGGGACAAGGGGTCACAACTGGAAGCTGAAGACTCAGACGAGTCACAGGGACGTTAGGAAGTATTTCTTCAGTCAGAGTTGTCAGCAAGTGGAATAGCCTAGCAAGTGTAGTGGAGGCAGGAACCATACATAGTTTTAAGAAGAGGTATGACAAAGCTCAGGAAGCAGAGAGAGAGGATCCAGTAGGGATCAGTGAAGAGGCGGGGCCAGGAGCTGAGTCTCGACCCCTGCAACCACAATTAGGCGAGTACAATTAGGTGAGTACACACACACACACACAAGGTTAGTTCCAGAGCTAAGGGGATTGTCCTATGAAGAAAGGTTAAGGGAAATCGGCCTGGCGACACTGGAGGACAGGAGGGTCAGGGGGAGACATAACGACAAAGTACTGCGCGGAATAGACAAGGTGGACAAAGACAGGATGTTCCAGGGAGGGGACACAGAAACAAGAGGTCACAATTGGAAGTTGAAGACACAAACGAGTCAGATATTAGGAAATATTTCTTCAGTCAGAGTTATCAGACAGTGGAATAGCCTAGAAAATGACGTAGTGGAGGCAGGAACTATACATAGTTTTAAGACGAGGTTTGATAAAGCTCATGGAGCAGGGAGAGAGAGGGCCCAGTAGCAACCGGTGGAGGCGGGGGCCAGGAGCTAAGACTCGATCCCTGCAACCACAAATAGGTGAGTACACACACAACTAATTTATATATATATTAGTTATTTATTTCACATACACTCATTTTAACTATGTTAGTGTGATCGAGGTCCCAGGACCGAAACTTTTCTAATAAATATGTCCTGGTGTTTGCTCACGTGTCTTTTTTAACCAATTTGTCGGTATCTATAACCAAGGTTTATGAAATATATCGGAAGACCTAGAAGCCATCATGGCCGCACCTCCCAAGACCACGACAAAGTTTGTTGTGCAACACTGCCTCGCTAAACCCCGGAAACAGAACTAAGCCTCATCTCGGACGAACTGTTGCATACAAAATACATTTTAATGGGGAAGAGCTAAACCCACAGGAGTTATAGTGCACCTGGAGGAATATGAGGCAATCATATATGCAAAAAGGGCAAAGACAGGTCCGATTCATTGTATCAAGACACCATCTCACTGGCATCAGTCAACTTCCCTTGAGGGGTGTTGCTCAAGAGCTGCTGGAAAAACCGGAATCTGCCCAGCAGTCTCAAGAACAGAGGAAAAAAATATTACTTGTGCCAAAAAAACAAGAGGGTATTTGGTTCTTAGCCAGATCCTCCTGACCCAAACTCCATCACCACCACTTAGACAAGGATGCCGAAGAGGCAAGATATTATTAATCAAATTAACACCATATCCGAGAGGGTCTACGAGAGATAGAGGAAAGGGTAACTGAAGACAGGCAGAACTCAACAAAGAATGATACGAAACACTAAGGCGAACAAGATACTGGAGATGTATGACAATACTATTCCAGGTTGTGTCCAACTCTGTCGTGAGGGGGAGAAAAAAAAAAAAAAAGGTGTCCGTGAAGTTGCAGTTACTCAAGGATGGCTGGCAACTCAGAAGGATATCTCGGGTATATAAATGGAACCTATCCCCGTCGTGAATCACTCCAGCTTCAAGATCAACAGCAAAATGTGAGTATTTCTCTGACGTATTTTTAAATTTACCATTGTCTTCTCAATGATGGATTGTGGTGTATAAGCTAAACTCAGTGCTTGAAGAAGACTGATATCAAAATTCAAAGTAAATCTCGAAAAATGTTAATAAAATTAAAGTGCAAAACTCTTAAGTTTCAAACAGCCAAGACATTTTAAGATGTTTGCACATGTGGCTCATCACGTCCAGGACCCTTTCAGACGGGACACTAATCTGACAATTTGTGTATTGTTAGGAAGGTAACCGTCCTGTTTGATAACTTCGTCTCCCACGACGAAGCAAACACCATAAAAACTACAAGTATATGTTCACACTAACAGTTTTAAAATTTCTAGAAAAACTGATAAAAGTTTATAGGTTTATCCATATATAAAGATACTCAAGTAATTTAATATAGACAGAGGTTTCCCTTTCACTAAGAGTATTGGAATACTTTTATTATTAAAGTTTTCTTGGCTGGTGGAGTTGCATGCAGTCTTGATTACCCTCGTAGTTGATAGGCTTTAAATTGAATTAACCATTAAACCCGTAGGGGTCATATAACGACTGAGGGAATAAGGAGGTAATCAGGTTCGATCCAAGGGAAGGATTTCTTAACTTGGATCAAGAGCTTACCAACATTAAGGCGCTCCCCCATGGTATTAATAAGCTTAAGCCTTCTGTTTACACTTTTACTTTTGTATATAAATAGTGTAACAAGTGTCCTTACAAACACAAGCATCGCTGTACTGGTTTGTCCTGCTACCCTTAACACCTAGTGTGCGGTAGCATCCAAGGCTACAGTTATCTTGTATGTACCAAGGTTATGTCGATTCCATAGGATTATTAACATACATACGGAAACAGTGAACGCTTGGGAAATGGTCAGTAACCTGGTTTGATCCTAGAAAGGGAGAAGAGTATTTGCATACCTTGGATTAAGACCCATTCACTGATAACGAGGCACTGTCCTTGATGGAGCTAATTTTATTAATGGTATTGTGTGTACTATATTCACAAGAGAAAAGCTAAGTGATGGTAGCCTAGTGATTCTCGGCAAATGTTGAATGTCTTGCATAAGTTTTTTTTTAAATGTCAAGTATATATGCCACAAGCAATTCCAGCTAGTGAAGCTGCAAATACTCTTATGCAATCAACTTGTGTACTACACAGAAGAGAACTTTGTGTACACGCTTTTCTACATTAAGGCTGGATTATACACATTGTACCACTTGCACCCACTGTGGTTGTGTGTACTCAGAAGGCGGGAGTCGCTTGCATCTACTTAAAATTAACTTTGTAATCATTTTCACATTTCAAGAATTTCAATTACAGTTCCTAATAAATTTTCAGATGGTTTAAACAATTTTACTTTTCTTTATTACAGATTGTCAGTTTTGCAGAACCCTTTACGGTAGATTATGATTATTATTATGAACACATTGCCCGTTTCCCACCAAGGTAGGGTGTCCCTAAAAACAAACTTTCATTAGCTCCATCACTATCTTGCCAGAGGCATACTTACACTACAGTTATAAAACTGCAACATTAACACCCCTCCAGAGCATAGACACTACTTCCCGTCTCCAGGACTCAAGTCCGGCCTGCCGGTTTCCCAGAATCCCTTCATACTACCCTGCTCCACTCCAATATTCTATAATAAAGAAGCGTTACACCTACAAGGGTTATAATATTATAATAAAGTTCAGCGCTAAACCCGAAAGGGTCATACATGTAGCCCTGCGTTACTCAATAAAAATTTAACAAATTAGGTAGCTAGGGCTCATGTTTACAGCTAGTGAATTTACACGTTACAAGTCATACCTCCACTTCTTTCAGAGCTCTGCCCTATCTAAAGTTTAAAAACTCCCGAAGGTACAACCCACAACAGTGTCTCCTGATACTCTCGCATACCTATTTACTGCTATGTAAAAAAGGGGCAGCAGGTATAAGGAGATTTATGTTTTTTCCATCTTGCTTGGGGAAAGTAAGCCAGGACCGTCGAGTCCACTCACTTTTTAAAGCAGTTCTGAACCATTATGTCTCTTGTATACTACCGCATTTTTTCATATGTAGTTTTGAATATCTGAAATGTTCTATTTTGTTATACAGGAGAAATGTTGTGTGTTTAGTGGCGGCTTTGGCTGTGCTGGTGGTGGCTGCCGAGGCTCAGGAGGCACAGACAGCCTTCCTGGCTACACTTACACCGGAACAAATCGCCCAGCTGTCTGCCCAGGAGGGTCTTGATGCTATGATAGTCTGTTACAAGCAAAAGGACGACCCACAATGCACCGAACTAGTGACGAACACTCTAGGTTAGTTATTTTCACACTGTAGCACATTCACATATCAAACGCACTCTAGAAAATATTTTTCTATATGATTTTTGAACTTAAAATGAGGTTAGAATCTGTGACTTCTAGCTCCATCTCCCACTTCCTCCAAAACAATCACAATGTACTATTCGCCTTCATCTGTTTGCTTCTACATACTATGCTGCTCTTCAAACGCCAGACAGTTGTGTCTTAAAACGGTTCTCCATTATAACTTAAAACAGGACAAAGTGCACTTCAAGTTCGGACCAAGAACCACCATGGTGGTCTGTTAATGAACAACGTCAAGTTCCTACAGGTCATTCTCGTTTTACAAAACACTAGGATAGTGGTTATTCAGCGCTTTACTCATGTTCATTTTCTAACAGATTTACATTACCAATTTTCTATCGTCACTAATTCACTTTCATATTATATAAATATATGATTAGAAAGTAAAACCATTTAAAATACCATTATTTCACATTCCACAATCCATATCCATAATTCGTTCCATGTCATCTACAGTATTGTTTGCAAATTTAAAAAAGAGGAAATTTATCTATTTATGAGGAGCTTTGAGGAGTGTAGCACCGTGGGAAGAGTGATATCTTAGGGTAAGAGTAGCACTCCTCCCAGATTAGAGGCCCTCTCCCTAGACAAACTACTATAATTTCACCACCATATTAGGGTGACAGTCAGGAAGTGGGGAATCTTTCTCGTAATAATCATTTTGACTGATGCTCATATTCAACCCTCAGACTTGTGTTGTGGAGTGGTGCCATGTTTTACACGATGTCTTCCACTGATGGTCACTTAGCTCTTAAATCTTGAGAGCTCTTGTCAAAATTCGGAGCTAACATCCCCTTCCTCTGATCAAATTTGACTGCTTCCCAAACTCCAAGCGATAAACCCGTAGAGGGTTAGCGCTATCATAAATATATTACAATTTAGTCTTTAGACACCAAATGTCTCCGGTAGAAATACCTTTTTTTCCCCCCCCAACGTACCCGGATGAGTTAATATTTAGAATACATAAGCATCTTTTGTCTAGTAATTTTAAATTTATGAATTACACAAATAAATAACTAATATTTTGTGGTTGGTAAATTATGCCTTTTTGTGCCCCACAGCCGAGTTACCAGAACTGCTGAGGACCAACTGTGGTCTCTGTAGTGAAGCTCAAAGGAAACTCCTGGATGATGTTCTTGATCAGGTCACCAAGGAATTCCCAGATAAATTCAACCAGCTGAGGAAACTCATTTTCAGCTAACGTAGCAGATGACAATCTTGCTGGCATGTCTAGGCTAATACAGTTGCTGACAATTTTGCTGACATGCAGGAGCCTTGCATCAAGCTGTACTGCTCTATGACAACCATCAACCTCCACTACTCCTGCTGCTTCTCTTTCCTCTAAACTCGTCACTCCTCATCCAATCCAATATTGTATTTGCAAATTCTCCATTTAATTACTGGCTGCTTGTTTTTTTAACTCAAAACCGGTAATCAGCTATATTTGTGGTCAGCAGACTGCTAGCACAAAAAAGCATTACCATAATTTCTATTTCAACTTTTCACGAGTGACATTTCCCAGTGCTGCTCTTCAAGCTGGCGTCTTGAAGGAAAATGTCTTCCTCCAATCTTTACTGCCTCCTATCTGCCAGATTCTGTATGGTTTACAGGCTTAGCTCTTCCATAAACAATAAATACTAAATGCACTACTTAGAGTTTGTCTGGAACCTTCAATATAATGAACTTACATCTGTCAACCGATTCATAACTAAATTGAAATACTGGTCTGGCTCCCACTGCTCAACTGTGAATTACCGCATTCATGATGGAGCGCTAAACCTGTAGGGGTCAGACATTTCGTCTGGTGGATGAATGGTTATTAAGGTTAACAGTGTTGTGACAGGTTTATTCCTCCCAGACCTGATCTGTTCCTATTTGCAGCATTTAATTCTTAAGAAAAGTGTTCTTTCCTTGAGCAAATCCCTAAACTACCCCCGAGATTTCCCTCAGGACTGCTGATGACTTGCTCCTAAAAACTTGCCCAGACCGGATGCCACAGACAAGATTACTTTGTCCTCGTAACTACTGGCTTGTGTATACCCACCATTTAGGTAAATTTGCAAATTTTGGATACTATATAAACCAAGTTTCAATCGCCGAGAACCTTTAAGCTTTTATGAAACTTTCGGAGAAAGAAATATCTACCTGGAGGGCATTCCGGGGATCAACGCCCCCGCGGCCCGGTCCACGACCAGGCCTCCCAGGGGATCAGGGCCTGATCAACCAGGCTGTTACTGTAGTTAAATAAAATATACAAACGTTGCAAATGTGTCCGTTAACCTGAACTACTTTTGTCAAAATGACCTTCAACTGCAAACTGCTTGGTCACCAATGTCTCTAACATCACCGGACAGTAACAACCGACAGCTGCAACAGAACAGTCCCAAGCAACAACTGACATGATCAATATAAGCGAGGCATGCACAGTACCATACACAAACAAAAACACACCTCAACGTCCACGATAAACTAGAATAGTTCAACTGTCACAGAACGAAATGACACTCCGAGATGACTAATTAATTTGCATTATTTTTGGGACTAAGATTCGTTCGAATTTTTAAACCCGAAAGGGCACCCAGGATAACCCAAGAAAATCAAATACGACCCCACATCAGTCGACCAACACCCAGGTACCTACTTACTGCTAGGTGAACAGGGGCAGCAGGTGTAAAACCATGCCCAATGTTTTCACTCGTGCCGGAAACTTAACCCGGATACCAAGGGAAGAGCTTGTCAACCGAGCCCACTGCGTTGGCGAAACTGTCAGTAGTTATATACAGTTGTATTTCCCTTTACCCAGTAGTAAATTATGTGGAGGCAAAGAGAAATAACTTTTGGTAGAACATTTTATATTAAAACAAAGACGTACACGGTATTTAGAGTCAGCACCCAGCTCTATTTTTGAAGACCTGTTAAAGAAATAGAATCTTGCAGAACCATCAGAGCTGACTTATGCGACAGCTTTTTGTTAAATCTCCACCCCGAGTTTTCATGTCAACCAGCAAAGATTTATTAGTCCGAGAGACCGGGAATCACACTTCGGCAGCCTCTCCAGTGTATCCTCGTCAAAGTTCCTCACCCCGCTCTCTGGGGAAGTCGTTGTGTACTTCCTCATAGTCAATGAATGGCTTTAGGAGGGGAGGAGAGGGCGTTTCTGCAGAAGCCCAGTAAGTTCTGATCATATGGGCGGCCTTCTCTGCTACCATGGTTACTGGGGCATTTATGTTACCAGTCGGGATGGTCGGAAAGATGGAGGCGTCCGCTACCCGCAGACCAGACACTCCATACACCCTGTAGGTCACAACAGTTAGTCCACGAAGCAGGGATTAAAATCTTGTATTAAGAGTACCAGAGCGAGGGACTATAAAATTATTTCAGTTAATCAGATTTCTGAATTTTATGGAAACATTTAATGCAGGCGTGAGATACACGACAATGTACACTTGGAAAATCTAGACACATTAGTACCAAACTTCCACACGAAAATCACTCCCTATGAAAGCAAGACTCGGTAGGAGATGCAACATTCCCCCAGTGAAAAGCAGGGGCGCCACGAGTACACAGAGATAACACAATAAGTGTCCGGGGCCCAAGACAGTTCAACTGCCTCCCAGCATACATAAGGGGGATTACCAATAGACCCCTGGCTGTCTTCAAGAAGGCACTGGACAAGCACCTAAAGTCAGTACCTGACCAACCGGGCTGTGGTTCGTATGTCAGTTTGCGTGCGGCCAGCAGTAACAGCCTAGTTGATCAGACCCTGATTCACCATGAGGCCTGGTCTCAGACCTAGCCGCGGGGGCGTTGACCCTCGAAACTCTCTCCAGGTATACTCCAGCAGGATAACGGCAGGAAATATACCGGTGGAATATTGGTTTAGGACATTTTCTAGTAGAGGGAGGTATAGGACAGTTTACTCGGGACGTTACTGGGTAAATCAGCATATGTTACAGGGTGCTGCTTCACAGAACTTTCAAAATATATACCATGCTAGAACAAGCTCCATTTATCATTGTGCTGGAATGCGAAAGCTATGAATGTAGATGCCAATCTCAAATATTCCCGAAATTTCAATTTTATCCCCTACGAACCACTAGAAAAACACGCAGACTTGCCTACTGTAAATAACTTCAGCTATGAAAAACATTGGGGCCCAGTCCCTGGACCAATTACATGCCTCTAACCTTTCGACTGTATCCACAGGATGGGTATGGAGTACATGATTAAGCATTAAAGCTAAGCTGTTCACTCTTACTGTCATAGAAAGTCCGGAAGTATTCAAAGTATACTTTGCAAGATTTCTAGCAGAATATAGAGAAAAATTATTGTTGCAAAGTTACGAAGGTCTAATCTGCTGCTTAACTGCTATACAAAACTCAAGAGCAATTAAGAATGGGTAACCCTTAAACTAGGATTTAAATGTACAGGAATAGGTCAAGAATTGTCAATCAAAAGTCAAGACTAAGATTTTCAGAGGTTTAGCGTGTAATTGGACAAATTTCTGTACTGTTGTGTACCATTGCCCAATGCAAGTAAATTTTTGGTTTAGAAAAACACGCAAGCAAACACTAGGCCATATATAGTGTTTGCTACTTTGTAACTAGTTCAGTTATCAATCTTGGGGTCCAGTCCCTGGACCCATTATATACCTCTAATATTTTGACTACCGCCCACGGGATGGGTATGGGCTGCATAATTAAGATATTAAACAAACTTGTGTTTTTCTAAACCAACTTGGTATAACTCACGAAATCGTAATGACAACTGCAAACAAGCCATACCACAGGCGGGATTGAACCTATGGTCAGAGTTATACAACTCCAGACCGATGCGTTAGCCACTGGGCCAACTGGCTACATTAAGATTCATCCAACTAGGAATATTCGCACACAATAGTTAGGTTAGCATAGGCACCACTTACCACAAATACAAGCTTTTGAGGGGACTTGAGCTAGAATTCGTCACGGCCACGCTCGGGGGGGGGGGAGATTAGTCTGTAAAAGCTTGCATTTGTGGTCTTAGTGGTGCCTATGCTAACCTTCCTATGATGTATTAATATACCTAGTTGGATGAATCTTATTGTAGCCAGCAGGCCCACTGGCTAACGCGTCGGTCTGGAGTTTATTACACTGGCCGCGGGTTTTATCCCCACCCCACGCAACCAGATTAGGTTAGGCAAGGTTCGTCAGGAAACAGGACAATCGTTTCCTGACGCGGGTCTTAGATGACCCGCCGTTGGAGCTTTTGGTCATCTGACAGAGGCCTTCCACTGGCTTCCCGGTTCACCCCTTTAAAATTATGGTCATAGTTATAACCATTTTATGACTATGGTTGGTTTAACCAGAGCTTAAGGAAAAGTTGACCAAAAACTTGACAAATTTGAAGATATTTAAGATGGTCTTTAGACAGTTCAGCCAAGCTGAGTTTGATCAGTATTTGAGGTGAAGCAAATTCTTGGGTAGCTTTGGTATAGCCAGTAGGCCTGCTGCAGTGTTCCTCTTTTTATGTAACCTAGGAACACTACTAACCTGAGCTGGGGATCTACAACAGCAGCTGGGTCCCAGACTGGCCCCATTTTGGCGGTGCCGCTGTAGTGGTAAATGGTGTAGGTGAGGTGACGGAAAGAGCACTGCCAGTAATCACTCTTCCCCACCAAGTGTTCACACCCCGGCACTGGGTGGTCGAAAAACAATGCGCCAAACCTCCTGTACACGATATTTATTATTAAAATGTCAAACAATGAATAACTATTTGCCAAGCACTTGCATCATATTGTTATATTAAAATTTATGCCACCATGCAGTAAGCTTTATAAAATTTAATCAGACTTACTGAAGCCTACTATACAGGCGAAACGCTATCTACTAACATTTACAACCGCTTTTTGTGTAGCAAAAATAAAATATAATCAACAATACACTAACACTGACAGCCTTCTTTACCTAATAGTTAATAAATACCAAGTGTGTAGACTGTTGTGGGTCGCATCCTGGGGCGAGGACCTATAGGAGTCCAGCGGATGCAAGTTACAACTTTGCTTTTTTTTTTTTTTTTTTTTTTTTTTTTTTTTTTTTGGGGGGGGGATTATCCTGGATTTTTAACCCCGTACCATTCATTATCTTAAAATCTTATGCCACTTGCGTCTTCAACACTCGCTATACTAGTTCACGCTTAACTATTGCCCTTGATAATCTTAAAACTGAATCAAAGGTTGAACGGCAAACGTTAGTTAACATTACTAGACGCAAATTAATTATATCGCTGAAACCAATGCTCTTGGCTGACAGGGCTTGTGCATCTCACCCAAATCTTGCCACGCTCAACACCATTGTTAACGAGGAAGTACTAAAAATATCTACATAGATGACAGCAAATAAACACACTCAACACTGATAAAACCTGTATTATGTTTGGTAACAAAGCAGGTGATGTACAATTAAATATTAAGATCGACTACAGTCTTATTGCTAAACATAACGAGGGCAAATTCCTGGGTCTACACATCGACAGCAACCTGAAATTAAAAGGACACAAGTGCAACTAATGCGACATTTATTGTGGCAACGTTTCGCTCTCCATGAGCTTTATCAAGCCATTACAAACAATACATGGACACAGAGGGTATATAAAGGCTCAGAGTGAGGTGCAATACTAGTGAGGTAACATTTCGATGTTCACAGTGGTAGTAGTAGTAGTAGTGGTAGTGACAAAAGTAATACTCTTGTACGAATTAATTGCTCTATCATATTGCAACTAATGTCACATTAGTTGCACTTGTGTCCTTTTACTTTACATATTGTCGGTAATTCTACCAACTTTATTACAACCTGAAATTCAGCACCCATATCCAACACGACAAAGAAAGTATCCAAAACTGCTGGGATCCTCTCTAAGATACGTTACTTCGTACCACAATCAGCCCTACTCACACTATACTATTCACTCGTCTATATCTGCCTCGCATATGCCATTTGTGCCTGGGGATCAGCAGCAATTACCCACAAAAAGCCGCAGGACGAATTATCACGCAATCCAATGCCAGGCAACCCCCTCCCCTCTTCAAAGACCTAAACTTACTCACAGTTCAAAACATCCACACTTACTACTCTGCAATCTACAGAATCATAAATTCCAATATTAACCCAAAATTAAAATACTTTCTTGATAGTTGTGACAGAACCCAGACATAATACTAGACACAAACTTCTCTCTAACATTCCCCGTGTCTGGATAAATCTATACAAAAATTCGATGTACATGAAAGAGCCTAAAATCTGGAACTCCCTGCCTGAAAACTCTAGAACTGCAGACAACTGCCATTTTCAAAAGCACCGTTCAAAAAAATCTCATCTCCCTCACCCCACCAGTAGCTAACCACATGAAAATACTATCTCGCACATATCCAAAGCAAAATATACTTATTGATATCCGACTCCCCCTAATTTACACATGACTAAAAATTCTGATTACAGCTATTGCTTTATAATTCTTAAGCTAGTCCAATATAGAAACTATCAGGCCAAACAGAGACCATTTCCATTAATAGATAAACTAATGTTTTAAGTTCTTAAATATTTTGAACTACCTCCATTTTGTAAATGTAGTTAATCACTACAATTATTTAACCTTAATACCAGTATAATTCATGTCCTGTGTTAATACAGAGTAAGAACTAGTATTAGTCTGCCCGAAATGCCAAGGCGTACTAGTGGCCTTCTTTGTAATATGTAATAATACATGTAAACCCCACATTGTAATATTAACAGAAAAAGAATTTTAATTTTAATTCAGACAAAGCTGGATAGGCCTACTTACTTTCTGAAGGCAGTACTGTTACCAACACGCAAAGCGAAGAGAAGGCCCTCCTCCAGCACCTGCACGTCCTCTATGTTAGTGAGGTAGTTCGCGAATATCTGTAATATTTAATAAATCAATCCAAGTACAAGACATACAGGTATTTATGAAGATCCGTATAGAAAAAGTTACAGACTTTTTTTGAGGGGGGGGGTTAACCTAGGTAATTTACACATGATAAACTATGTATGATTACCGTACTTAGTGTACGTGTACCTAAAACTTGTTTAAAAAAAAAAAAGTCGGCAATCTCCCACCTAGGCAGGGTGACCCAAAAAGAAAAAATACCTAAAAAGAAAATACTTTCATCATTCAACATTTTCACCTCATTCACACAATCACTGTTTTTGCAGAGGTGCTCAGAATACAACAGTTTAGAAGCACATACGTATGAAGATACACAACATATCCCTCCAAACTGCCAATATCCCAAACCCCTCCTTTAAAGTGCAGGCATTACACTTCCCACCTCATCCTTCATAAATCCATCCGCTGACACGTCAACTCCCAAATATCTGAAAACATTTACTTCTTCCATACTCCTCCTCCCCAGTTTGATATCCAATTTTTCTTTATCTAAATCATTTGATACCCTCATCACCTTACTCTTCTCTATGTTCACTTTCAACTTTCTACCTTTACACACACTCCCAAACTCGTCCACTAACCTATCACAGTAAAAGAGAGTAAGTTGTTTATCCTAGGAGCAAGGAGCGAAATTTATCAGCACGATTAATAGACCTATGCTTAACTGCAATCATTGTGTAATAGGAATACTAATGGAAATTAATCGGATCGATGTTACCCTAGGTTAAATTATATAATACACTTTTGTATCTATGTTGAAGTTTAAGGGTAAGCCTTTGTATACACAGGTATATTTGTGTATATAGTTTAACCCATATCTTTGGTATTATACACATCTACATGTAAATATACTCAAACAAATCTAGGGCTTTTTTCCCCCTTTTATTTTCAAACTTTAAACAATCTAGGTGTAAATGTACATCATATGCACCTTCAGATTATCGCAGGCTTTCAATGTACAGTAATTCTGACATAAGGAATTTAATTATCTTTTTACTGTTTTCACAGATTCACTCTTAAAAATAACTAACAAAAAATAAAAAAAAAGGCACAATACCGTGACTGGAACAATACACAAATAACCCGCACATAGAAAAGGAACTTACGACGACGTTTCGGTCCGACTTGGACCATTTACAGTCACACTTTGTAAATGGTCCAAGTCGGACCGAAACGTCGTCGTAAGCTCCTCTTTTCTATGTGCGGGTTATTTTGTGTAACTAACAAAAGAAATGGTTTGGGTTTTACCCGTTACCTGAGCTATAAATCTATATTATTGTGCATTTAAATACTATGAACATGAGCGAAGGATGGAGAAGAGAAATAGGCATATTACTTCTACCTTCATGCACTTTATTATCAAAACTAAGCACTAAACCCAGTCATGTTCCTCACTATGGTAGAATTTACAGGTTAATTGGACAAGTCAACTTTTAAATTCTTCAGTTCAGTTTTCTCAAAATGAAAGTTATGAAGAAAACGATAAATAAATGGTATACTAAAGTATCATAACCTAATATATATTCATGGAGAAACTCTAAATCCAAATCGTAAAGCCCCTTTGAAATAAGAACGCTTATTCAATTCCTTGGATCAAGAGCCATTTACCGCATCAGGGTCCTCCACCCCTTAAAGGATGTTAAAAGGATACTTAACCTTTCCAACAGTCATCGGACACCTGATGTTGCACTGTACCTTTGGGTGGGTGTAGGGATTGGTAGTAGCCAAATGGATGTAGCCTCTACTCTTTGGCCTGGATAGAAGGATCATTATGCTGAAGTGGTCGGTGTAGCTCAGATGAGAGAAGTATTTACTCCAGTATTTGTGTTGCATGCCTAGAGCTAGCCTCAAGTGTGCCCCCTCGTCAGAACCGTAAGAACCCGCTACGAACTGAAGTTCAATGTCTGGCCAGTCTATGCTAGGGTCTCCATACTTTGTGTTTATGAAGGCTAGGCCCTCCACCCCGCCCAGGGTGGTGAGGGGACCAGTACCAAAGAAGGAATAGCGAATTAAGGCTGGAAGGTTTTGTATGCGGTCAGTCAGGAGGGAGACTGGTTCGTCGATGCTGAAGATCACACCCGCTGCTATGTGGTCCTGAACCAGAAATTAAACAAATTAACCTATAAACAAGCCTACAAAAATACTGAAATCACAGCAAGAGTATGCGGAATATTTGGTATTCAATATCTGTACATTTAATTATCAAATATACCCGTGTGTTTGGACACTGAAAAAGATTAATTGCCTCAGTCATCCCTTCCACCCTTCAAAGGGGCTTCATTCTGGTCATAGGCTCGAAGTAATTGAGCTACTCTTTCCTGGATCACCTCTGCCTCCACTGTCCAGGTGCTGTATATACTACAGGCTGAAGCATTTCATGTAATTCATATTTCAAAATAGACAATCATGACTTATGCAAGTTACTTTGATATGATGACCTAATTTCTCCCCCCCCCCTCCCCTTCACCGTCAAAGATTATAATCAAAGGATAAGTATTAAATCAGTCCCAATTAGGTTTGATCCGAGTTAAGTGGGCACAGTTTCTTGGATCAACCCCTCCCCCCCACTGGCATCGAGGCACCTTCCTTGAGGGATAACCCCCCCCCAAAAAAAAAAAAATAGTTGTACAAATTAAAAAAAATAAATTACTAAACCTAGCCTTGCTAAAATTACACAAAAACAAATAACCTAAGAAAACTATGAATAAATAAAATGAACGAAAACTAACCATGGTCCATGAGTGTGGCAGGACCAACACTCATTCATGGAGAAGTTAGTAAGACTGGTTGTAAAAATCATCTTTATTGAGCCTCTGGTTGAAGGGTAGTGTTGGACCTGCTACATGCATGGCCCCGTCCATTTATCTTACTCATTGGCAGACGTTCATTACTTTTAGTAAAAGCTCCAACTCTTGGTATTCCTTTAAATTTAACAAACTAATTTTTTTTATAATCGGCTAGCAATAACCACATCACAAACTAAGGGTAGATCACTGCATATTAAAGATACTAAGTTTTATAAAATACCTAAGGTAGATCAATAATAGTGTACTCGCCTGAAAATTCTGACCTACGGGGAGGTCAGCGATAACAGTAATGTTGTGTTGGGACAAGTGTCGCGCTGGACCTATCCCAGAGAGCATCAGGAGTTGTGGGGTATTTATGGCGCCTGCACACACTACCACCTCTCGCCTCACCAAAACGACCGCGCCTTTTTTCGTCGGTTGGTCCAGAGAGACTCCCAGAGTGCGATTAGTTGTGCCATCTATCAACAGCTTGAGGGCCATGGTGTTCAGGGCGACATGGAGGTTTGGACGTCGACGCACCGGCCGTAGGAAAGCCTTAGCATTAGAGCAGCGGGCGCCTCGTCTGATTAAGCCATGAGGGGTCATGAAGCCTGTTTGACGCTCTGCATTTATGTCTCTCGCATCATATCCTAACTCCTCTCCAGCATCTAGGAAGGCTTGTGCCAGCGGGGTTGTCCATGGCGCTGGACCCACTGTCTGGAACCCTCCAACACCGTGGTACTCTGCGGAAAAAAACTCATACTGAATCAGTGCAACAATAAATTACAAAATACTTAAAGATTAAGTAAATAACGGGGAGAGGGAGGTGAAGAAATTATTCTTAGTTAAACAGAGGACCAATACAATAGACTAATTACAATTACTTATTCGTAACTACAGGAACGCAATCTAGTCTATATATAAATGTTTTAATAATTATGGAGCAACAAGAAAGTTATTTGGTAACAAGGATCACTCAAGTTCACTGGATATAAAAACCAGAAACAGGCTTGAACAAGATTTTCAACCTACTTAATGTAATGAGTTACTCACTATGATTCGCATTGGGGTCAACGTTATCCTCCGAGAGTTTGAAAAATGGGAAGATCTGATCATAACTCCAGCCTGTGTTGCCTTGAGCCTCCCAGTTGTCGTAGTCTATCTTGTTACCCCTGACGTAGAGCATGTAATTCAGGCTACTGCTGCCACCGATCACTCTGCCCCGCGGCAAGTTGCACCTGGAACAACGACACCAAACATGCCAAGTGCTAAGCCCGTAGGGATCATAAGGAGCCTAGTGAATAGGAAGTAATCAATTCCTTTGATAAAGGGTTTTCACTGTCATCAAGGAAGATGTCGAAGGTACAACCGTGTAGGAGAGTTATACTAAAATGTTAGTTACATTAAATAACCGAAAGACGCTCCCGCTCCCCCCCCCCCGGAAAGTTATACAAACATTTGGTATGGTGATTTTTCTATTTTTTCGTCCCCTTTAAGGGAGGTTCCTTGACGCTGGTGAGGGACTATCTAGGGAACTGGATCTGTGTACTCCAGTATCCCCGAATTCCTTCCATCCCACCCCCCACATGCGCTGTATAATCCTACGGGTTTAGCGCTCCATTAAAATATTTTTTCCGTCACTATACTTCAACTTCATTTTCACCAAAATGAAAAATTCATTAAAAGAAAAGAATCTGCCCATTTCACTTTTCCTTCAAGTGATCAGCTACGACTTTCATTTATTCAAACGTACAACAGATTGAAAAATTGGTTTGAGGAACCGACAAGATGTGGAAAAAGACTTGTGTACAGTAGATGACCAACCCATCTCAATCCAATTGTACTACTACCACCCTGTTCCAGTTACCACCCGACACCTGTCACTAGATACAGGAGTACGACTGAAGAAGCCACTGGTGGCGAAACTAATAAATGTCCTAAACTTTACGCAAGTGTCTTTCCACATAACGGATTTTACAAGTTTGAAAAAAAATCTAGAGAAAACAAAAGCACACAAACCCCACCTTCTGTCATACATAGCCAGACAAGCTGTGGAGGAAGGCTGTGACCTGTACTGCCAGTCCATATCAGTGAGTTGCAGTGTGGAGGCCAGACCAGGCACTTCAGAGAGGGAAGTCTCCTGTCCCCCGGCTTCCACTAGCAACACCATCACTCCCTCGTCCTCACTTAAACGGGAAGCTAACACACTCCCAGCTGTCCCGCCTCCTATGATCACATAGTCGTACTCCTGAAAATTGAAGACACATTCAAACAGCAACTACACCAGCCTATTATGGATAATACCCAAATACAAAAAGCTAATTACTCCTATAAATAGTAGCCAAGGCCTACGTAACTACCAGGCCAAAAAAACTAAGTTATATTATTACCTTACTCAAGGAAGTGTAAAAGCACAATTTACTAACATTAGCATGCATAAAATTACGGGTGCCTAGGTCTACAAAGACCAAACTGTCATACTTATATGTATTTCTACAAGTACATGCATAAGGTATACAGGCCTAGCCGACATCAATGACTATTATATAGAAAGCCCTTTGTTATGCAGAATATTTCGGGTAAATTAAGGCAAATTTGTCCCAGGATGCGACCCACACCAGTCGACTAACACCCAGGTACCCATTTTACTGACGAGTGAACAGGGGCAACAGGTGTAAGGAAACACGCCCAATATTTCCACCCATGCCGGGAATCGAACCTTTGACCCTCAGCGTGTGAAGCGAGAGCTTTGCCTACCAGGCCACGAGCCACCTCTTGGGACTTGATAACGAGAGATAATCACAAAGCCTATGTGGCCTATTTCCAATGGGATCCTTGCATCACCCATTAATTGAAAAAAGTACTTATTTATTAGGTAAATTGGTGCTGGAGGTATATGACGTACCAATGTCTTCCGCCTGAAGATTATACCCGGGTTCTTGGCTGAGAACCAAACTACCTACCACTGAGCTACACCGTCTGTTATGTTATTCCAGTTCTCATTTTATCATCGGATCAAAACTTGGAATATATATATATATTTTTTTTTTTTCGCCGGTATTCTCCCGGCCCGGGTCTTTTCCAAGTAGTGGTGACCCGGCCTTGGCTCCCTATCTGGGGAGTATCTCGAGACTTAAGTCTCCCATGGGAGGAGGTACAAGTACCCCCTCATCTTTGGGACCAACTGTCCCCAGGCCTAGCCACATTCCTTTACGTTATCTCTTTCCTCTACAATTTATTTCGTGAACAGAAATACAGGAAATATATATACTTCAGTATTCGTCTTAGAAGTTACTCGTTTTAAGCAAATTTTCCAAAAGGATTAGTTATATGTGGCGTATTAATTGTTTTTTCCCTCGGCCCACCCTCCCCTCCCATATTAATTATAGGTTATATAACTAACAGAATCGGGAACACCTGTGGGTTGCTATCCTACTCTAAATGGTAGTTATAGAGGGATGCAACACACGGGAAACCGAGTCATAAGAACACGTGGATTTTTATTACGGTATATTACGAGGTGAGCGATAAGTTATTATAATCAAAAAGAGCAAAACCACAAGATATACAGCGCAGGTGAGCGATAAACCCTACGGTATATACACACCGAGAGGTTATCTTAGCGTATATATACTGAATTTATTTTAATACCTAGGAACTACAGTATTCATGTCTGGTGGTGAAAAGGCTGTGTGTAGTCTTAGTGATTCTAGTGTAGTTTTAAAACCCCCATTAATCAACCTCAACCCTCGAGTCAACACCTGCGGACTGGAATATTATAAAGTTCCATACGAAAGGGTTGCGCTAATTCCTTAAATCAAAAGCCCTTCACTACTATCAACGCTTTCCTATGAAAGAATATGCAAGTGACAAGGCTTTCATATATTAATGTTAAAAGAAAGTTAAATATCTTGAAGACTACGTATTATTTTCACAGACATGGCTTAATAAAAATGGTACCTATATTAACTGCTCAATGTTCAATTTCTGAACTTTTTTTTTTCATTTTTACACATTTGACAGTAGTAAAATAAATATTTGGGAAGTTAAATATAATACCAATGAGATTAAAAAATCAGTATCGTTTAGTTTTTTAAAGAAAATAAAGAAATTGGACAACGTCAAAATGGAAGTAAGTTGACATTCGAAATAAGTTTTTAAAGAGGGGGGGAGGGCTGGACCGGTAAGCCAGCAGAAGGCCTCTGTCAGATGACCAAAAGCTGGGTCATCATATGACTAAGACCTTCGTCAGGAAACACTTGTCACTTTCCTGACAGACATTACCCAACATCTCCAGATTACTGGAGCGCCCTTGTTGCACTCACCTGAAGAAGGTCCGGTCTGTCTATAATGGGACCCTCGCTGTGCGGTATATTATAAGGAACCAGGTCCAGTACCCAGGCCAATATCGGTATCATCCACATAATCCTGTTAGCATGTGACTCCATCTTCCCAGTGTACCTCCGATGACCTTACACTGAAATAAATAACTTAAGTCACGTGTCACCATCCCCTACACAATTTAATTTTTGCATAATTCAATATTTAAAGCATTATTAAATCAACGGTGTACCAAAACAGTGATTTTTTCAGATTATTATTATTATTATAATCAAAAAGAAGCGCTAAGCCACAAGGGCTATACAGCGCTGCATGATTTTTTCAGAGCAACTGGTAAAGTCTCACACTGTAGATATTTATCTTTATAAATCACTGTATTGTTGCACTGTATGACTTATGGGTTTAGCGCTTAGTTCTGATTGTACTACCATACATTTTTTTTACATCGAAAGATTTATAAATATACGAGTTACAGTTTTTCTTATTGTAGTGGTTTTAAAAATGTTACGTTAGTAATCAAACAGTAATGACTCATGCGAGTTCAATAGCTTTAAAATTTTAATTTGATATCAAAGTAGATCTTTAATAAAGATTAAAGTATATTAATGTACGAAGTATGTATTAATTATAATGCACTACAAGTGGGTCGTTAATACTTCACTTTACACCATCAATCATACTCCTAAAAATTACATTTTAACAGAAAACCCCAGAGTATATACACTGGCATACACACTACATATAACATGTGTAAGTATACTACTTTAATACATGAGCATATCTACATAAAATAAAACAATGGAAAATATGTGAAGGTCAATTTCTACTTGTCAGGAAGACTCAGCGTTTAGACACATTTACATTAAGATGTATATATATATATATATATATACATCCTAATATAAATACCATGTGTAACCTACGTCTTGTGTACCATCATATTACCTTTCCTGCAGTTATATTAGTGCATGAAGATAATTAGTATCAAGAGAGAGTTGAGGTGGTGCACCTCCCACCAGTCACACCAACACACTACCTTAGACTTCCCTGTCTCATTATCTCGACTCTTATTCCACGAGGCTTCACCATCAGAAATTCGTCTTATTTATACACACCTCTTTCACAACAATGTGTTTGATATATTTTCCTGTATGGATGAGACATTTACATAAAAATTATACTTCCCAAAAATTGCTTTTACAAGTACTGATACTGGATGGTTACAAAATTTAGTGTGATCCAGTTTCTGAAACCTTCCACTAAACAATGTATATATATATATATATATATATATTATATATATATATATATATATTATATATATATATATATATATATTATATATATATATATATATATTATATATATATATATATATTATTTATATATATATATATATCATATTACACAAAATTTATATTTCTTAGTGTTTATACACCTAGATGAGTTTCTTTGTATGGTACACTGAGATATATATCTTAATGTATATACACCGAGGTGTGTATCACATTGCATATAGTGAGAGCTAACCAACGACAAGTTGACAGAACTTCAATATCTCAGGCTATATGACCCTTGTGGGTTCAGCGCTTAGTTCTGATCGTAATAGTAATAATAATTCAGCATCTCAATGTTAAATTTTTCATTTATTCTGGGTATATTCTCGTAGCAGTACCTACCTGGAGGGTGTTCCAGGGGTCAAGGCCCCCGCGGCCCAGTCCATAACTAGGCTTCCTGGTAGATCAGGGCCTGATCAACTAAGCTGTTACTGCTGGCCACACGTAGTCCAGCATACGAACCACAGCCCGGCTGATAGGGTACTGACTTGAGGTATCCGTCCAGCTCCCTCTTGAAGACAACCAGGGATCTATTGGTTTCAGGATCCGAAGTGCTGATTTTTCTTATGGTTAAGCTCGATATATCATTCCTCAAACTTATTGCCAAAGCTCATTTTTAGGTTTCAGTAGAGGAATACGCTTGGGAATCACTGTCAGTCTTGTCTTTTGAAAGATTTTTAAATGGACTACCTTAATGCTGGTAAAGGGCTCTTGATACAAGTGGAGCTACCCTCCCTGCCCTTGGATCAAGAACCCTTTACCATCAAGGCCTACCCTCTCTTCGGATATTTGTAGACAGACTTCAGTTTAGTGTCTTAGTCTCTTCTCATAACTCAATGTCTCAGCTGTTGTTGCTAACCTCTGGATCAGCTGTTGCTGTTAACCTCTGGATCAGCTGTTGTTGCTAACCTCTGGATCAGCTGTTGTTGTTAACCTCTGGATCAGCTGTTGTTGCTAATCTCTGGACCAGCTGTTGTTGTTAACCTCTGGATCAGCTGTTGCTGTTAACCTCTGGATCAGCTTTTGTTGCTACCCTGTGGATCAGCTCTTGTTGCTAACCTCTGGACCTTTCCGTGTTTCCGTATCTGCTTAACCAGGTGAGAAGGGGCTCCATGCTGGTGCTGTGTATTCCAACATAAGCCGCCTGAAATGTGTAAGTTTATTTAGGTATAGGTACACATAAATAGTTACACAAATTATCATAGGTAGTAACGTATGTGTAAATTACCCACCAGGATAACCAAAAAAAAAGTCAAAGTGACTTATTTCCATTGGAGTCCTTGTAATATCTTATCATTTAAGAATCATAAAAGGTTCCGTCTCAAGGTATGGCAGGCAGTTCTCAAAGTAGATGGCTTGGTATATGTTGTAGAGATTACACTGTAAATGTGTACCTTTGTCGATATGTTGGATGTGATGTTCACTCCAAGATCTTTCTTCTTAAGCGATGCTTGTAACCTGTACTTGTGTGTAAGTGTGACAGTGTGTACTCACCTATATGTGTGTGCTTGCAGGGGTCGAGACTCACCTCCTGGCCCCGCCTCTTCACTGATCGCTACTAGGTCCTCACTCTCTCTGCTTCCTGAGCTTTCTCATACCTCGTCTTAAAGCTATGTATGGTTCCTGCCTCCACTGGCCTGGTCACAGACCGGGCCGCGGGGGCGTTGATCCCCGGAACTCTCTCCAGGTAAACTCCAGGTAAACTACATCACTTGCTAGGCTATTCCACTTCCTGACGACTCTGTGACTGAAGAAGTACTTCCTAATATCCCTGTGACTCTTCTGAGTTTTCAGCTTCCAATTGTGACCCTTTGTTTCTGAGTCCCCTCTCTGGAACATCCTGTTTCTTCCACTTGTCTATTCCACGCATTATTTTGTATGTTGTTATCATGTCTCCCCTGACCCTCCTGTCCTCCAGTGTCGTCAGCCCGATTTCCCTCAACCTTTCTTCATAGAACATTCCCCCGAGCTCCGGAACTAACCTTGTTGCAAACCTTTGTACTTTCTCTAATTTCTTGACTTGCTTGGTGCTGCATACTCCAGTATGGGCCTGACGTACACAGTGTACAGTGTCTTGAACGATTCCTTACTAAGGTATCGGAACGCTATTCTCAGGTTTGCCAGGCGCCCATATGCTGCAGCAGTTATCTGGTTGATGTGTGCCTCCGGAGACATGCTAGGTGTTATGGTCACCCCAAGATCTCTCTCCTTGAGTAAGGTTTGCAGTCCTTGGTCACCTACGACTCTGTGTTTAGTGAACCACTAATCGGTCTGAGGATCGACGACCCAAATGATTTCTTCATGAATGAGCCTCAAAACTACATAAATGTATGCCAGATTTCCGACATTACCCTAACTCCGATAGATTTCGAAAAAGCCATTGACAACATGCCTATGCCCTGGGCCCCCGGCCCGCCTCGGGGAAACTCTGTTTTATTAAAAATTTTGAAAGAAACCCCTTCCCCGTGCCCTAATACACTATGGAGGGGGGACCCTTGGGAAAAGGGGGTGAAATTCCACAGTCACTTAAAAAAACGGATATACCCCCACCCAAAAAGGTTTGGCAGCAAAGCATTAGCAAAGAACATAGACCAATAGCTCTGACTTTCCCAACCCCCAAAAAAATCTTGAAAGGTGCTAAGAAGCGGGTTTTGCAAATCACCTGGTTTCCCCCAAAATTAAAACAATCCGGGGAACTTTGGGTTAAAAGGGCAGGTCGCTCCTGCCCTCACAACTGATTTTTAAATTTTAGAAAACATGTGCAACTTTTGGGGTTTATCTTTTTTGAGGAAACTTTTCCCCACCCAGTGGCTTCATCATCCAAAACAAAGGAGAATTTGAAAAACAAGGAAAATAGGTAATCAGTCCCTCAACCTTGAGTCGATGTGGTCAGTCCATCAATTATTCAAGATTGATGGACTGACCACATCGACTCAAGGTTGAGGGACTGTTACCTCTTTCTCCTCCTGTTCTTCAAGATTCTCCCTTTGTTTTGGACGATGAAGCCACTGTGTGGCGAAACGTTTCCTCAATAAAGATACCCAAGAGTTGCACATGTGTCTAATTTATCAACATTTTCGGTTCTCTGAACCATTCATCTACAAACCTGTCAGACACTGCAACTTCTTGGGATTTTAATACCTGGGAATTCTTCGCTTGCCTAATTCTTGGCACGACTACTTCAACTTGAAAAAAATGTTACACGACCTATGACTGCTTCACCTCTCCTGCCAACGTTTATAAGCTCCTTCTCAGCACGTATGCCGTATTCTATTCAAGATTGATGGACTGACCACATCGACTCAAGGTTGAGGGACTGATTGCCTCATTCTCCTCCTGTTCTTCAAGATTCTCCTTTGTATGGACTGATGAAGCCACTGTGTGGCGAAACGTTTCCTCAATAAAGATACCCAAGAGTTGCACATGTGTCTGTCTAATTTATCAACATGTCGGTTCTATGAACCATTCATCTACAAACCTCTCACAACTACTGGATCACTATGACATGGCCTTGGATGCACTGGAAGAAAATCAGAATGCAGATGTAATATACACAGACTTTGCAAAAGCATTTGACAAATGCGATCATGGCATAATAGCCCATAAAATACGTGCTAAAGGAATAACTGGGAAAGTGGGGAGATGGATCTTCAACTTCCTAACCAATCGAACACAAAGATTAGTGGTCAACAGAGTTAAATCGGAGGCTGCCATAGTGAAGAGCTCTGTTCCACAAGGCACAGTACTCGCCCCCATCTTATTCCTTATCCTCATATCAGACATAAACAGAGATATACACCACAGCACCGTATCATCCTTTGCGGATGATACTAGGATCTGCATGAGGCTGTCATCTGCTGAGGACGCGGTTAACCTCCAAGAAGATATAAACAAAGTTTTCCAGTGGGCAAAAGGTAAACAATATGATGTTCAAGAGGACAAATTCCAATACTTCCGTTATGGAAAAAATGGAGGAGATAATAACTAGAACAGAGTATACTACTGACCCGGCCATACAATAGAGCGGAAAAATAATGTAAGGACCTGGGAGTACTAATGTCTGAGGATCTCACTTTCAAGGATCACAACAGTGCCACGATCGCACATGCAAAGAAAATGATAGGATGGATAATGAGAACTTTCAAAACGAGAGATGCCAAGCCATTTATGATCCTTTTCAAATCACTTGTTCTCTCTAGGGTGGAATACTGCTGTACATTAACATCTCCATACAAAGCAGGTGAAATCGCAGATCTAGAGAGTGTACAGAGATCCTTTACTGCACGTATAAGTTCTGTCAAGCACCTTAACTACTGGGAACGCTTGGAAGCACTTGACTTGCACTCGTTGGAACGCAGGAGGGAGAGATATATCATAATCTACACTTGGAAAATCTTGGAAGGAATGGTCCCAAATCTGCACACAGAAATCACTCCCTACGAAAGTAAAAGACTGGGCAGGCGATGCAAAATGCCGCCAATAAAAAGTAGGGGCGCCATTGGTACACTAAGAGAAAACACCATAAGTGTCCGGGGCCCAAAACTGTTCAACAGCCTCCCATCAAGCATTAGGGGAATTGCCAATAAACCCCTGGCTGCCTTCAAGAGAGAGCTGGACAGATACCTAAAGTCAGTGCCGGATCAGCCGGGCTGTGGCTCGTACGTCGGACTGCGTGCGGCCAGCAGTAACAGCCTAGTTGATCAGGCCCTGATCCATCGGGAGGCCTGGTCATG